TTTTCAAATAGCTAAAAATCTGAATTTAATTATATATTCTTTGAAAGAGAATTTAGCAAGGCCCTACAAACTCGGGTTTTTATTTCAGTTTTATCTTTTCAACTTTTATTTGACCTTGAACACTCCTAGTTTTAGAGTGTGTCAATTTGCCTTTACATATTATAATTTTTCTATCGTATAGAGTTCTACTTTGATCCTAATTTTAAAGCTAGACAACACAATAAAATTGATACATTATAAAAAGTTATGTGAACTAATAACAAGATTCAAAGTCCACAGAGCAAATGGAATGGATATCATGAATTCAAGGGGCATAATTATTACTAAATTTCTCCCCATGAAAAAGAAAAGATAACCAAATACCAGCATGGGCGGTAAACCCTAACCCTAAATGCAACCAAGGCAATGCAGTAGCATCGACACTCAGCTTCTATATGGTTTTTTTTTTTTTTTTTTTTTTTTGGGTCGAAACACAGCTTCTATATGTTTATGCTTTGGTTGGGGCCCTGGCCTGTTGAGTCTCCTCGCTGTGTGACAAAGTTTGGTTTGCTACTTTGTTAGTCATTCATTCATTCCACTAGGGGTGGGTTCGAAAAACCGAAACTAAAAAAAATTGAAAACCGAATTGAAAAAACCGAACCAAACCTAATTCTTTTGGTTCGGTTTCGGTTTCAATGGTCTAGAAATCTAACCAAACCGAATTAATTAAAGGGAGGTTTTGATACAGATGCCTAGGTTTTAAAATTTTGAGATTAAACATTTATGCCTTTTAGAGTTTTGATTAAACATCCTACAATTTAAGTGCCACATGGATTAGAAGTAGCCTTTTTTATAATTTAAATTACCCAACTTGCCATTATATAAATATACCTTTTAATTTTTTTAGATATTACCTGAAAACTCCTAAAATCTTGTAGATAAATATTGTAGAATTTAATTCTAATAAAAAGTCTTTCAAAATACACATGAATGCGACTTGCCATTATATTTAATATACCCTTTAATTTTTTTTAGATAATATCTCAAAACTCCTAAAATCTTATAGATAAATATTGTAGTATTAAATTTTAATAAAAAGTCTTTCAAATTACACATGAAATGTAGATTTCTTCTTGGTACATATTTGATACGTTACTTAATATATCTTCTTAATACATATTTGGTATGTTTGTTTTCTTTTTTTGTATGTATTTGGTACGTTTATATTTATTTTAAAAAAAACATATTTGGTACATATATTTCCCCTAGATTAAACATATATTTTTCCTTCGTACATATTTGATACGTTACTTTATATATCTTTTTGGTACGTATTTGGTACATTCATATTTCTTTTTTGTATGTATTTGGTACATTTATATATTATTTTGCTACGTTTATATTTATTTAAAAAAACATATTTGGTACGTTACTTCATATATTGTCTTGGTGCGTATGCAATATGTTTAAATATATTATCTGAACGTACCAGTCTCAAGTGACACACCTCGAACGAGATCAGGGCGTGCTGGCCGTCACGCCCTGATCTCGGTCGGGGTGTGTCAGTTTGGTATCAGAGCCTAACCCTGGTCGTGGTGTGCCGACGAGGACGTCGGGCCCCTAAGGGGTGTGGATTGTGACATCCCACATCGCCCAGGGGAGTGATCCTTAAATGTATATTCCTATCCCTACCTAGCACGAGGCCTTTTGGGAGCTCACTGGCTTCGGGTTCCATGGGAACTCCGAAGTTAAGCGAGTAGCGCGCGAGAGCAATCCCATGATGGGTGACCCACTGGGAAGTTGCTCGTGAGTTCCCAAAAACAAAACCGTGAGGGAATGGTAAGCCCAAAGCGGACAATATCGTGCTACGGTGGTGGAGCGGGCCCGGGAAGTGATTCGCCCCGGGCCGGGATGTGACATCAAGCCTCCGAAAATAGAAAATACGTCCAATTATCTCACATGATATCAATATAAAACAGTGAAAACAACCGCAAATTGAAATGGATAAGTCCATTCAAAATTCAAAAATGAGAATTGGGAGAAGAAACCATACGGCTCAAACGTGGGAGAAGAAATTGGCTTCCTAAAAAAAAAGTCCAGAAATATATCAACCTAAAAGGTTATATATGGAATTTAATAATTAACATTTTAAATTAAAAAGACACAATAATTACATGTAATCTAAAAAAATATAAAAATGCTGAAATGGCTATTGTTTAGGCGTCCTAATCAAATTTCAAAATAGAACCAATGTTTAATATAAAGAGTATTAGAAAAGTGTAGGAGATTCTAATTTTCCCTTAATTAAATTAATTTTTTAAATTTAATTATCTATTTAAATTGTAACATAAGTTGTATTATTTCTCTTAAGCGTGTATAGAACCATATATAGATCTACAGCATTATTTTTCTTAAGCATATAATAAGGAGATGACATCCTCTGCCATACTTTCTCTGACACGCATGTGCATTGATTTGAATGTATCATTTCTCTGTAGCATTATTTCTGGGAGTAGATTCTTCCTACCATCTCAATCATTTGGTAGTGCGTTATTGATATTATACGATTCAGTATGACCTTTGGGATATGTCTACCTTCTGAAAGGATCCAATTTAAACTTTTCCTATAGCCATGATGCATTTGCAGTGGTTCTTTCTCTGCAGCATCATCCTTTCAGTTTCATTTTCAGCATTTTCATCTCTCGTCAAACGTTAAATGTGTTTATAGCATATCTTGGTACAAGGTCCCAACCATCATCTCTCGTCAAGCGTTAAATATGCTTATGTTATGATTGTGTTGGAGATGTTAAAATTTTAGATTTTCATTTTTTTCATTTTTTGAAGAAAAAAAAAAATTGAAACCGAACTGAATAAACGAAACAAAAAAAAAATGAAACCGAACCGAACTGAAATTTCAGTTCGATTTCGATCTTGTTATGATTGTGTTGGAGATGTTAAAATTTTAGATTTCAATTTTTTTCATTTTTTGAAAAAAAAAAAAAAAAAAAAACCGAAACCAAACTGAAAAAACGGAACAAACAAAAAATGGAACCGAACCGAACTGAAATTTCAGTTCAATTTTAATGTTACCAAAAAATCGAACCGATTTGAACCGAACCTAGCCTTACATTCCACCATCATTATTCGTTTTGCTTACTTAACTTAACCAAACATTTCTTTATTGGGATGTGCTATATCTACCCACCTCTTTTTACTTCTCTCACACCCTTGTTAATTTATGTCCGTTGATTTTCTTCATTTCATCCGATCCGACGGTCCAAAATTAGAAAGGTGTGTGAAAAAGTAAAAAAGGATGGGTAGATATCACATCCCTCTTTATTTATACATTTACCAAAGAAAAACTCTTTATTTATTATTTTTAAAGAATAAAAAGAAGAAGAAAAAATGGCTTTAATTGCTTAGGATGTCACACAACACTTAACGTCCATGCTTCTGCGGCTCTGCCAATGTATGACACTGCCACAAAAACACTATGATGAGAGAGAGAGAGAGAGAGAGTATTCTTCCAAATTTGAAACCGCCTTCTCCTTCTTTTGGATGCTGTTACTGAACGAGTATGGCCATGGAGGCCACGTTCCAGCCATGTCATGAATTTTGTTTCAGCCATTTTGTCTGTGTTCCAAACAAATAAATTCAAATAAATAAATTAAAGAAATCTTTTAATTAATTCCATCCAAATTTCACAACCCTAACTGCACTCTGCATGCAATGCAGATGTGCTTACATAACCCCCATTAAATGACGTTTTCATCCCCGACGTGTCCACCTGCTAGCAATGCCCGACATGCGAAGCATGTCTACGTTTCGACTTTCAATATTATTTCTCTCCCTCCCTCTCTCTCTCTCTCTCTCTCTCTCTCTCTCTTCCTCCTCTCAAGCTTATTCATTATTTTGTGTTCATCTATTTCTATGGCGTGCTTTGTGTGTGAATGAGGTTTAGGTTCCATCCTTTTGCTTGCGTTTCAGAATTGAGAGACTTTGAGTCGTCCATTAATTAATTAGTTGAAGAAATATCTGTGTGACTTTGTGAAGGAGTGAAAGTCTTTGTCGGCAGGAATTCGGGAGAGGGGGCTTGACTCAGAGTATACATGGGTAGGAATTCCGACCACGTTATTAGTATGACATCTTTTATTATCGTGAGAGTTTTTTACTTTTTTTATTCAATTTCACGTTAATCTTACACGTTATAAGAGTTATTCTAATCAGTCAATCTCATTAAATTTTTTCCTCGCATTATCCAATTTCACATTAATCTTGCCCGATATAAAAGTCACCCCAAATTAAAGCACCTTATCAAAATTTGCTATCACTTGACTGGTGAGGATTGAGGACGGAGAGGTTTGAAAACTTATTGGGTGGTTTGGTATATGTTTCCCTTTGAAGATGCAATTGCTTATGTCACCCATTAGATTCATACATACAAGTTATAACGGATGTCTGCCATTCCTTTGTTTTCTTGTCAACCCCGATTTATTTTTCTTGTTATAACGTACGTTGGCTTTGTTGATTCCCATACCATATTGTGTATTCTATTCACATATTTATATTATATATTGACTTGACTCTACTTTTTAATCATTTCTGTTTTAGGATAATACAGTATGATACAACAAGTGTTTTGAAAGTTTTTTTTTTTTTTTTCAAGTATTCAACTACTTGTATTATTACACTTTGTATATCGAGTTGTGTTCTCGACATACTGAAAAATTTCTTTTGTTTTAAATATATATTGCTGGGCAGCTCCAGAAACCTATAAATAATGGTTTTCCTTGTATTTTTACCAAGTTATAATGTGTAAAAAGACCCAGAGAATGTGTTATCTAGGTAGTTACTCAATCAAGAAAAATTATATCACCAAGAACTTTAAGATTGAATTATATTATATATGGTTTTTTCACATTTCACCTTTCATTTTCACCCAATCATGAAGGCAACATAAAACCACAACCTGCGCAGGACTGCAAAGTCTGAAATTCTCTGTGGGCGTATTTTTTTTTTCCTTTTTTCCAATTGAGACTCTAAGGACTAAAAATTTTGTGTCCCTTTGAACCAGAGAAAAGCTGCCACTAGAAGACACATTTCAGCAACAGAGTCCAACTGGTCATCTTTGTATTCATATATATTCCCTGAGACCCCATCTCGTATATAGCTAGCTCTCTCTCTCTACAACATGAAAGATCAGGCAATGGAGAGGATTGAAGGAGATGATCACCGTCACCAGAGCTCCTCATTTCTTAAGAGGTCTCCCTCTTCTTCTGTTGACAATGTTGATCAGAAACCCCACACGTCATCATTTGACGACGGTGATGGTGTTACTCCTAATAGAAGCACAGCTCAAGGGAAGCATCTAGTAGTCCACGGCTACCACCATCATTTTCCGGCCGCCGCCCGTCATCGTCAGATGATCGGCAGCCTGTCGAAATCATCCCTGTCATCATCGACTCCGGTGAGACCTTATGTTCGGTCCAGAATGCCTCGGCTTCGTTGGACGCCTGATCTTCACCGCTGTTTTGTGCATGCAGTTGAAAGGCTTGGCGGAGAACAAAGTAATTTTAGCTTCTTTCCCTACACACACGGATATATACACACACAAACACACACATAGCCTATATATAGAGTAAAGTTTTATTAAAATGTTATTTTTGTGTTTAATTAATTACAGGAGCCACCCCAAAGATGGTTTTACAGATCATGAATGTGAAAGGCCTTAACATATCACACGTTAAAAGCCATCTTCAGGTAATTGGCGATCTAGCTAGATAGCTAGATCTTGTTAAGCGTAAAATAATCTCTCTTGTTAATTTGGTATTTTCTACTTATTTATTTTGGAGAGGGAATAGCTAACTTCGAAATTTCTTTTTTCATTCTTTCTAACGTTGAGGTTTTTGACGATGTACAGATGTACAGGAGTATGAAGCATGAGCAAGGCATACAAGGTACACATGTACATACATGCATGCCCTCGCTCCTTTTCACTCTTGACTAATTTTCATAATTATTTTGGTCATTTAATTTTATTGCACAATATATATATATATATATATTATGTATTATATATTCCCTTCATCATGTATTATATACAGCAACATAAAGTATTTTTGTATGAGATGTGAATATATAAATATATATAGCTGATTTACTCACAATTTCTCTGGATTTGTAATTCCTAGGAATAATATGTGTAAGATTTTTCTATGATAATTTGGTACCTTCAAGAATATTCAAAATTCAAGAAGACCTAATTGATTTAATTACAACATAAGTCTCTTGTTTTTTTCTCCTTCTCTATTTTTCATTTTAAAAAATGTGCAATCATAAAAAATACCATAGTTCTCAAGCTCTAGCCAATAATTAAATTGACATTTTGTTGCAGCAGCTGCTTTGGCAGCACAGAAGAATGGTATGTTACAGGTCTCTGAGCACTCAAACAACTCAAACTTCTTAAAGCCAATCAATATTGCTCAACCTGTTTACATTGAAGGCCTTGATACCAAGAACACCAGCCCTCTGGCGAAAAGGTAATTGTAAATTAATTAATTATGTTTTATCTCCCTAATTAACATTATTAGTTATGTGAGATTTATATTCATGATTTTTACAGGAAGGATGAAACGAAGCCATTAGTACTACCCTATCAAGCACCAAGTTCTTTCATCGTAGACAATGATCTACTCAAAAGATGCACTGATAATATTGGACAAGTACTCTCTCTCTCCCCCTCCTATGACATTCTGGCTCTGAACAGTCCTTTAATATTCCATTCCATATGTCTGAATTTTCAGGAGAGCAATCATAAAGAATTGGAAGATTTAGGCAGTACCAAAAGCGAATATGATGCAAGAATAATGTCTCTATCACTCAACGCATCATCATCGAAGGCCTCTCGTGAGCTGTTGAGGTTCAGCAAAGCAGCTGGGAATTCAGATGCGAATGATGTCTCTCTTGAGCTCACTCTTGGTACTTAAAATCATCATGCACATCTTTATGCAGACAATGTAGAAACTTGAAAAAAGTGATTCTAGAGTTAATTAGTACCTCTTTTTCAGTATTCTCCTCCAATCTATGCTTCATGTGCAATTAGATTAACGACCGGATGCCTTAAATTGACACTAGCATTAACATTTAACTGTACGAAATGGAGTGAGTGAAAGGCATGAGTGGCTAATAACCCAATTAGCCACTTATATGCTTTTATGCACCTTATTTGTACAACTAATATCAGCAGTTATTGTGTCAATTTTTTTTGTAGTGTGGTGATCCACAAATAGTTTTGTGCAAGCGACATGACTTGAAAATTTTCATTACAAATTAATGTCACAAAACGTGCAATGTCGATGGTGTGATTTTACATTTGACTTTCAAACCACGTGTGATACAAATTCAATAACCTCTCTCAACTCCATTAGATATAATAGAGGTTAGAAATGGAAAGAAAACATCCAATTCTCATGCAAACACACTAACAATACGTGGGGTTGTTGTTTTGCTGATAAACCACAAATATAGGTTACTCACGTACATGAAGTGGATCTCCCTAATTTCAACCTCCATCTTCTCTAGTCTTGCTCTTCAACCTATAAATTCAGTCGCCCAACCTGAAGTGAAATGTCCCAAATCGAATACACACAAATCTTTAGCTTACTTATTACTCCTCACCTAAGAACTGATAGCTTGAGATCATGGCTGCTGCTAAGGTTTTGATCATGTTGGTGCTTTTGGGTGCTTTAGCTACACTCAGTAGCACCACGGAGGCTGGGAGGGACGTTGCAATGAACAACAAGGGTAGCGTCGGCGGTGCATTTAAATTAGATGATGAAAAGACGTATGCATTTTTCCATCACAAGTTTCCTGGTTATGGATATCCATACGGTCAAGGAGTTGGTTTTGGTGGTGGGTTCGGAAGTGGAGTAGGAGTAGGCTATGGTGACGGCGTTGGTGTTGGCACCGGAGCTGCATCGGGGGCTGAATCCGGAGCTGGAGCTGGGGCTGGAGCTGCAGCTGGAACAGGGGTGGTCGAAGTGAAAGGAGCTGATGGTGGATCGCCTTGAGTGTACTATGTATACATGGTTGGTGTACTAGATATGGAATAATTAATTAAGTTATCCAATTTGAATTTTCCATGTTTTGTTCTTATTTTTTGTTTTCTTATGGCAATATTAAATGAGATTGATCTTGGAGTTACACAAAACGTACAATTGTTTACACTCTTTAATATATGTCCTTGCTATTGTATGTGAGACTTTGTATTAGAGAATCACAATGTCTCATGAGGTTCCTATTTTTTCACATCACACCATGAGATTTCCAAATTATATTAACTCATGTCTACATGTTGTACAATTGTTTGATTCGTCGTAAAATTGATGACTAGCTAGCATTGCATGTAATTTCCTTATGAGTTGACATAGAAGTTACACTTACCGCATAAAACTAAATGACTTGTGGAGTTTTGACTTCTCTTCTACACCCCAAAACGATAACTATTCATCAATTTCTATCTCCATTGAAACCTACTCATCTTAGAAACATGCAACCCAATTACCACATCATCAATTAAATGTTGATTTATACGGTTAAATAAAGAAAACATAAATTGATACGATTTGAAAACGCAGTGCACTTGAAGAATAATAAAATCTCTTATTTAGAAAATCATCTTAAACATAAAGAGTTACAAGTTGAACACTTCTATTATCTTTTACATTCTTATTGTAATTAAATTTCCTAATACAAGCATTAGTCGAAAATCAACATTGCGGGTCATGGACCCTAAGTTTACATGAACACAACAGGAATATAAAACGGGCAAAACCCGAATCCGACCCACAGAGCGAGTGAAGAAAGCCATATGATCGTAGAATACAAGGGGATTGGGGTTTATTTTGTCGGGTTGTGATATCACCACTCACTAACGATGGCGTGCTGTCTCGATTTCGATTAGGAAGGAAAACCCTCCTCCACCCACTACCTACATACCCTCCCACCAACCCTTTTCATTTTTTTCGTTATTTCCTTTATATTTTAATTTCTCTGTCTCTGACTATCTCGTACTTTCACTCAGAAATATATAAAACCCACCATTTTCTGAGTTTGGAGATGCTCTTTTGGGCTCTCAGTCTTAGATTTGCTTGTTTCTGAAGAACTACAGATAACGTAGAAGATAACCCATCTCAGCATGTGAGTTTCTTATTCTCTCTCTCTCTTCATGTTCTGTAATTGCATCTCATTGGGTATGTTTTTCTGGGAATGTTTTATTGGATGCCTCTCTCTCTCTCTCTCTCTCCCTCTCCAGATTAGATAATGTGAGATTAGGAGATCTGTGTGAGATTCAATTGTTTTTTTGTTTTTGTAATAGAATCTGATTGATTTCTAGCATTTTTTCAGTGGTTTAAAACTTGTTATGTTGCCTTGGTGGATTCTCAAATGCAAAGTTTAAAAATTGTATTGTAAAGAGACCTGCTTGATCAATTCCTCTGTGTTTTTATACCATTTGGATGACCTTCGACTTCCAAGTTCAAAAATTTGGTACGTAACTTGTATGAAACCACACTAACAAAACTTGTATGAAATGCAATCCAATGCAACATTTTCGATCGATTTATCTCTGGTTACTTTCTTCGTCGCAGCAACTAGTGACGACAAAGTTTAACCGAGTGGTGATTGTTGTTGTTTTTGAGTTATGGGGGTTTGGCTTGAACTTTTGGTGCCCGTTTAGGATATGTTTGGTTTGTAGGACAAGTTATGGAGGCATATCATTTCTAGTAAAGCAGACCTATCTCGATTTTGTAACACGAACCTAAAAGTCACTATGATTGATTATGTGTCTCAGATATTTCTGCTAAGATGAGAGGAGCGGGTTTGTGGCAACTTGGCCAGTCAATCACCCGGCGTATTTCACAGGGTGATAAGAAGGCTGTAGCTCGTCGATACTTTGCCTCAGAAGCTGAGCTAAAAAAGACAGTCCTCTATGACTTCCATGTTGCAAATGGCGCTAAGATGGTGCCTTTCGCTGGATGGGGAATGCCTATTCAGTACAAGGACTCAATCATCGATTCCACCATAAACTGCAGGCAGAATGGTAGTCTGTTTGATGTCTCCCATATGTGTGGGCTGAGCCTTAAGGGGAAGGATTCCATTTCTTTCCTTGAAAAGCTTGTCATTGCTGATGTTGCTTCGCTTGCCCCTGGAACGGGGACACTCACTGTCTTTACAAATGAGAAGGGAGGGGCAATTGATGACTCTGTGATTACCAAGGTTACTGACGACCACATATACCTGGTGGTGAATGCTGGATGTAGGGATAAAGATCTTGCTCACATTGAAGAGCATATGAAGGCATTCAAGGCTAAAGGGGGAGATGTCTTGTGGCACATCCACGATGAGAGATCCCTTCTAGCTCTCCAGGTCAATCCTTTGATTCAAATATTCACTCTTCTTTGTTGATTCATATTGTTATGTTACTGAATCTTTCATATACTCGTGTTCTCGAGATATTCACTTGCCCATTTGATAGAATTGGCGTGTGTGATTGTGGTGTTGCATACTGGAAATTGTCTGATTCAACTGCATTTGAATTTGTAATTGTCTGATTCAGTTACTGCTCCTTTTCTCTTACATAAAAAAAATTCAGTTTAAAAGAAATTCAAGCTGCAATTAGAAGATAGGTTGTTTGGTTCAATTGAAACTTATTTGTATTGATTTGACCAATAGTTCGATCAGTTAAAACTGCTGCAGTTATGATAATGAAGTAGGCTCACAGCTGGACACGGTTTGATTTTGATTCAATAGCTGATCAAAATATTCCTTGAGAGTAACACTAAGAGTTTTTTTTTTCCCTTTTTTCGAGCAGGGTCCTCTTGCTGCCCCAACCCTTCAACACTTGACAAAAGAGGATTTGAGCAAGTTATATTTTGGAGAGTTCCGAATTTTGGATATCAATGGTGCACACTGCTTTCTCACAAGGACTGGGTATGTTTCCTCCCATCTCTTTTGTGGTTTTCCCCAAAGCAAGCAATTTACTTTGCACAGTGTGGGGATTATTGCGACGTTGCCATCTGCGAATTCAGCTGATGACCCTTGGTTTATATCATTTTATGGTTTTTTTGTGGGTGCTCAGACTCTAGTTAGTCATTTCTATTTGCCCCGTATGCATTCATATAATCATTAAGAAAATCATTGAAGATGATGGGTGAAGCAATTTTCTTATGTTATGTGCTCTTCTTTGTTGATATAAGAATTTGCCATTTCTACTGTTTTGTTGGAGCGAGCTGTGATTGACGTTGGATTGCACTTTTTCACTGAGAATTTTAGGTACACCGGTGAAGATGGATTTGAAATCTCGGTTCCTGATGAGAATGCAGTGGATCTTGCCAAGGCAATCTTGGAGAAATCCGAGGGGAAGGTGAGGCTGACAGGTCTGGGTGCTCGTGACAGTCTCCGACTGGAAGCTGGGTTGTGTTTATATGGCAATGATATGGAGCAACACACAACACCTGTGGAGGCTGGACTCACATGGGCCATAGGGAAGAGAAGAAGGGCAGAGGGCGGCTTTCTTGGCGCTGAGGTAATACTCAAGCAACTCGAGGAAGGTCCTAAAATCCGACGTGCTGGTTTCATCTCATCAGGTCCACCTGCTAGAAGCCACAGCGAGATTCAGAACGAGAAAGGTGAAACCATTGGGGAAGTCACAAGTGGAGGATTTAGCCCTTGCCTGAAGAAAAACATAGCGATGGGGTACGTGAAGTCTGGATCACACAAGGCCGGAACCAAAGTTAAGATCATTGTCCGAGGAAAGGCTTATGATGGAGCTGTCACGAAAATGCCTTTCGTACCTACAAAATACTACAAGCCATCATAATTCAAGCGTGGTACATCATCATCGGGTTTCTAATCGGTTTCCCTTTTGATTTCTTGATAAAACTTGACTGTTTCTGTCAATGCTAATTTCCATTCTCTACTTGCTTATGAATCTGGAATGAAATGGCATACATTTTTTTTTCTTCAAGGTAACATATTTACATGGTAGATTCTTCGAATCGAGATCCTCTTTGGATCTCGCATTCGGGAGCCAAGGGACCAAGAAATCTATACCAGTCATTTTAAATCCTATGACTCCCATTACCCCATCCTACTGATCCACCTCCAACAAACTAAAAGTTCGAATCTCGCTCTTCCTCACTTAGACGGTCCGAATTACTTGGTCCGTCGGCTCTGACTGCGAGGTCTGAAGAAGATCTGAATTCAGATTCTTCTTGCCGACATGGATGAACTTTTTCTGTAGTTATTTACTGTTTCACAGCTAAAATTAACCCAACAGGATCCTCTCCGAATCATTTTGGTGAGAATCTTGAGTATTTGTAAATCGTGTCAGTTCATCGTACACTATGTAGTCAGTTTTTGTCAAATATTTTTTATGTTTAATTTTAAATAATTTTAAATTGCACGATATATAATGAACAGACAAAATTGACGGATTCCCGAGATCCTTGCAAAAAGGATCCGATTCAAAATTAACATAATGATATTATTTTTGTTTTGACCAAAAGGAAACATAACTTTTAGGAGATTATTTTGACCCGAATATCGCTTATCAAAGTCAACAAATCAAAGGTAAGGCAGTGCCCCAAAGTCAACATTTCAGGTCAAATCTAAGCCATCCAATCTAGGCAGTTTTCTGGTAAGCATGATCAGAACTCAGAACTTCCTCCCCCAACTAGGGCATGAAAATTATGTTTAAAAAGTCAATAACACTAATTAAGCGCAAAGCCGGGTTGTTTGACGCCAAACAAAGCTTAATTAGACGAATTAAGAAACAAATTGTAGTGTGAAAATTTGAGTGTTAATATTAGATTTTGTATGTTACACCATTGTACAAAGAATCAAATGAATTGCTAAATTCTAGAAGTAACTAAAAGAAATCAAAGAATTTTTCCTTTCTTTCTGTTTGTACAAATCTGATGAACTACTTAGAAAAGCTTGCAGCCGAATTCGTCTATGGGTTCTCCATTCGAACGATACAAAGCTGATTTCGATGCAAGTTCTCTGAGCTGCTCCAAGCTTCTTCCCATCTGCATTGCAACCTTCATTTCGAAAATCCCCCCATTTTCTCTCTTCTCCAAGTCTTGTTCTCCAAGTGCTGCTTCAATTGAATCTTCTAACTTGTTGAAGAAGCCGGCGCAGTTTCTATACATCTCAAATACCATCCCTACTTGCCCGCCGTGCTGAAAAGCATTCACTGCGCTAGCCAACGAGCCTGCAGCCACTGCTGCAACCGCGGCAGTGGCTGATCCATGGCCTACAAAAGCGGATCCAACAGCCGCAATCCCAGTAAGCACAGGGCCCGAAACTGCCAAAATCTTGTTGATCTTTAGAACCAAGCTCCCTAATCTCTCATAGTCTTCAATGTCTTTGCTCTTCACAACTTGAATAATTTCTCTCATTTCACTTTCAAGTTCTTCACTCCATCCATTCACATTCTTTCCCTTCTGGGATTTCAGTTTCCTTGGATTTTGGGATTGAACAACATTTCTAGGCCACCAAACAGCCGGCTCAAATTTTTTGGGGAATTTTTCGAGCATGGCACCAAGTAACGGAAGAGGGTAAGCTTTGTCAAGAACCAAAACCTTCTCCATTGTCTCCTTCACATCTTTCTCAGTAGGATCACGAAGAGCAAACACCGTCTCAATTTCACTCTGGAGCTGCCTGAACAACCTCGTAGCGTTGCGCTGCTCCTCGGCGAGCTGTGAAGGCTGGATCTTGTTCATGATAAGCAGCATTCCGGTGGCTGCGGAAAACAAAATAGCCGATGAAATGTTCAATGCCAAAACGGACGTTCCAGCAGCTGCATTAACTCCCGCCATGAGGGAAGCGGAGAGAGTGATCATGTTGATAGAGCTAAGTAAGAGTGCGTTCCAGTTATTGCGCTGCTCGCCAATGTTTGCGTGCATCTCCACTCTGTCCGCCACCGCCTCTAAGAGCGCGTAGAGCTGAGCTGTGGAAGCTGTAGGAGTTGCTGCTGCTGCAGACTGATTGTTATTATACAAATCGATGTTTTCGTGTTTCAGAACTTGTTCCTTCAACTGGAGGCCTTCGAGGACGAGCTGCGTCGTTTGTTTGGGGACAGTGAAGCGGACTCTTGGGAGCTTGGGGACATGAATGGCGGCATTTATGGTTCTGTTGGAGGAAGAACAACGTGAGGGAGAAGAGAAGAGGAGAGATGAAGTTTGGAGGGAAGCCATTTGATTGGTTGGGGTGCTGTGTTTTGTTAAAGTGTTGAGAGCAGATTATCTGAGGTGGGTTTTCAGTTCGGAGGAGGAGGAGGAGAGGAGAGAGTTGGGAATGGAGGAAGAGGGTGAGACGTAGTGGGTATATATATGGAGACCGCCGAAAACTGAAAAGGGAAGAAGGGGTCAGATTTGGAAATTATTGACTGGACTTGGTTTATTGGCTGACCTGTTGCTGCAGCGTGACCCATTCCCTTTTTTTTTTTTTTAATTTGGAATTAACTTCGCTGCTGAACATTTCAGCAGGAATTTCTGATTACACCTAATTTTAGATGGACACGTATTCAAGTTTTAATTGAGCATTTCAGCAATAATTCCTGCTTACATCCAATTTCGGATGGATATGTATTCAAATTTTGATTAAAAATCAAGTTTTAATTGAACATTTCAGCAAGAATTCCTACTTACATCCAATTTCAAATGGACACGTATTCAAATTTTGATTAAAAAAATCAAAATTTATATACGTGTCTACCAGAAATTGGGTATAAGCAGAACCTCCTGCTAAAATTTCAACAGCGAAGTCTTGTTTTTTTAATTTTCCTCTTCAAAATTTGGTCCACCATTTTGTATTGCCTTCACTCGTTATCTCTCTTCTCTCTCTCATTTCATGCAAACATGTAAGTACGTATTTGCATAGGTAAGACGTTACACGACTTAAAACTTATACTAATATAAAATTTGATGCACACACAATTAACATTGCTTTACCAATTGCTAAATTATTATACCGCACTCTGAATTATCACGAAGGTATCAGTTCACACTTACTTTCGCAACTGTATCTCGTTTCCCTCCAAACTTCCGTTTTGCAACTCACATCACCCAATTCGCACTTCATCTATTAACTTGTCACCCATTAAGTACAAGACACTTGTATGTCGTCAATATGTAACATATTACCAATATCACATTTATATTGCGGAACAAACGATAACAGTCAATGAACAAAGTTTAATAAATTTATACCATGTGAGATACAAACTGAAAGTTCACGAAAGAAAATAATACAATTGCAACAGCAGAGAGTAGCATGACATTGTATTATTATGTTTTTAATTTTATTTAATTTTATGGTATTTTACATATCAATAAACATGTGGATTAACACATAATATAATGGAATAAACCGAAACATGGACAATACCTGTGTTCACCACTAATTAATGTATATTCGTATAGTGATGGCATAAGTAATTAACAATTTGGTTTTATTAATCTAAAGTCCAACGTACAAGTTTCTGACCTCTAATTTGAAATGGTCTGTCTGTCTCTGTTCACCTGCATGCTATTTTTTGGGTGGACCGAGTGCCCCCTCCCAACTACTAGTTTTCAAACCTCAACGATATATTTTACAGATATTTTAGTTTTATAATTGGCGTATTTCTCTTTCTGTTTTTATTTATTTAATTTGTCACGTAAACAATCCATAGTGAAGTGATGGCCTCTATTATATGGGAACTAGATCCTCTCCGGACTTTCGGACCAATAATCTCAAACCGTTCACGTAAAATTGTGCGGCTCAAAGTGAATCCCTCACCCATGCCATCGTGATGTCCCTAACCCACGCCACGCGTTGTCCCTCCTCCTTCCGCTCTTTCCCTTGTCTCATAAAGCCTTCATGCAAATCTTTCGAGTTTTCTGATTTACTTTCCCAATATATTGAGAACTGGATTTTTCTTAGAAGAAAAGAGAGAGATGGGTAGAGGCCTGAAGCTTCATAGAAATCCAGATCTGATGACGGTAATGTGTGGAGAAGGAGATAGCGACGGAGGGAGAGAGTAGTTGTTGTGAATGTTTGGCGTGTTTCTTTTGCTATGGAGAGAATTTCTGCGTCCCTATCATATTAGCTCATTAATACTTCATGCACATATTTCTTGGATAATTATTGTGCTTTTTTAGACCCATTTTACTATTAAGGCAGTTTATGACCGTCATCTTTTAAGTAATATCATTAATATTTGACAAAAAATGTCAAATTCAACAAAACAAAATACCGTCAATATTATTATTCGATGAAGAAGTTTAATAGCTCAAATGTCAAATGTTTGTTTATTTTATTTTTGGTTCATATTTCGTCCACCATTGCAATTTATTCACTCTCACTCATGCAATATTTGAATAATTATCTACTCTTTGTTTTGGTCAATTTCAAAATTTTACATGCAATTTGAAGAGGTCTCTCTTCATAACTTGATTTTTCTCGGTCAATCTTAATAAACTTGCAATTTGAAGAGGTCTCCCAGTTACTCGTTTTCAAACCTCAACGTATTGGATTCTAATTTTTTATTTGCAATCTTTCTTCTTCTGTTTTTCTTTAATTATTATTGTTTTTGGTCAAAACTTGCACTAATCTCATTTCGTTCACTTGAATCGGTGGTGGATCGAGTTGTGGCTTAACTTACCACTTCGTGCTTTGAGTTTATTAACTTTATGTTTTTATCTATAAATTACGGTATAATATATATATACAAAAGTAATTTACTAAAATTTATATATTATATTTAGAGAACTCTTTTTGTCAATTAAAAAAGAATGAAAACATAATTTAATCTTGTCTCGAGCTCAATTCTTGTGACGCTGATGAATCACAAGATGGTGATCAAGAGAAGCTGAAATGTTTTTATGAGTCTTTCCAGCTCCCGAAAAGAAAACTACGGTGATGAAGCCACCAACTGATTTAAAAAAAAAAATTGAAATATGAAGTAAACAAAAAAATTTATTCTTATGTTTCGTCTTGCAATAGAGTAATAAATCTATAAATAAAGAATTATATTTATTATAATTTAATAAAAAGATAATAAAAAAGATTGATATGAATAATCAATGGACCTAACCCAACAGAAAATTGACTACGCCCAATTATTCCTCTCAAAGTTGGAAATTCTGATGGGGTCGATTACAAAGAAGGGGTTGCAGCAGGTACTTGCTTCAGCTTCAGCATCATCCGCTCAGAACCAAGGTCAAATTCTATGCCTTTTATCACATTATCGGTCTCACTTTTTTTCTGGGATATCTTGATTTCCTCTGTTTTCTATCTTTTAAACCCCTGTTTGGTTCCCGAGAAAGTTGAGGAAACCCCCAAAGATTGAATTTTTTTGTATGTTTAGATTGCTTTCTCATCTGGGTTTCTTCAAAGATGATGTATTTTCAGCTCATATTCCGTAATTGTGATTAGTAGTAGTTAATTGGTTTTTCAAGTTGAATAATATGAGTGTAACAAGTTGTTAATTGGGAATTTTTGGTGATCTTCACTTTGTTTGTTATCTGAACAGGCAATTACAGCGGGGGTTTTGTCAGCGATCAGTGACATAGTGTCGCAGAAGCTCACCGGCATTCAGAAACTTCAGATAAGACGGCTTCTTCTCAAAGTGGTAAGTTCTATTAGGATTCCATATCGCCGATTTTATAAAAGTTTGTATCTTTGATCTGTGTATGTGTGCATACTGTATATGATAGAAAGAGGGATTTTCGAAAGTAGTAAAGTTGGTTAGATGAAATTGTAAATCTGCTATATTTTGCAGCCATAATTACAATTGTTTTCCGGTGATAATATAGTTTCTTGTTGTCTATAAGAAGTTTGATTTGATGAAATTGTAAATCTGCTAAGATGTTTTAATGTGTATAACTACTGTGGCATATATTTGACATGTATAGCATTTCTAAATGCAGCTTCTAGGAGCTGTTTATCTTGGACCATTTGGGCATTTCCTGCATACCATACTAGATAAGATTTTCAAGGGGAAGAAGGATTCAAAAACAGTAGCAAAGAAGGCAGGCTATACCTTCCTTCATGCTCCCAATTTCCATTCCCCCGCCTCCACGAAAAAAGTGGAAGAACGTATTGGTCATTCTAATATTCCTGATGAAATTATGATTTCAGGTGCTGGTGGAACAGCTGACGGCTTCTCCCTGGAATAACTTGGTTTTCATGCTTTACTATGGGTTGGTTGTGGAGGGTAAGTATATGTGAAAACCTTCGATCTCAACATTTTGTTTATGTTTTAAATGTTGCCACTGTGAAAAATACAGTTGGAATGCAATAGTACCTATGTGCCCTTAAGATTTGTATGTTTTAAGATTTAAAGTTGTAGTATTTAAAAATTAGATTATAATATTATTGATCCATCAACCAGCTCTTAAATTTTCAAAGAAAGCAGCCTGTAAGAGGCACACTAGCATGTGGGACAGATACGAGTGTTTAGCGTAAGTTAGTGTGACAGATGGTGTGAACTTTGTTGCTTAATTGTCTATTGGAGATATGAAAAGCAGGAAGACCTTGGATGCAAGTGAAAAGTAAAATCAAGACGGACTACCCAAAGGTTCAATACACATCATGGACGGTATGGTTCTCTTCCTGTTATGATTTATTCTATTACTATGACATACAAAAATGTAAAACCATTCATAATCGTAAAACGTTGAGATGGGTGGAAATGCAGTTCTGGCCTGTTCTGGGGTGGATAAATCACCAGTATGTGCCACTGCACCTCCGTGTCATCTTCCACAGCTTGGTCGCTTTTGGCTGGTAATGTACCATAAACTTAAGCTCCTTTTTGCTCGATAATATGCATTTAGTTCATTCTTCTTGATTCGTTAACAAACTGCCTTGTACTTTCCCTCTTTTTTTTTTCAGGGGAATTTTCCTAAACTTGCAGGCAAGATCTGTGGCATTACCAAAAGCCAAGTGAAACGGATGAAAATTTTCGATTGGCCTCAGATGATTTGTTGCCCCTATTGAGTTATTCTAGTTAGCTCACAGATGATCTCTCTTGAACAATTATGAACTCTAAATACTAGATATAAGTCATGGATTCCCTTTTTCTTGTATGCTGGATGTTGTAGAAAATGTTTTCAATGAATAAAATGAGTGATCTGTTTTCATTATTTTTTGCCAAACAAGTGTAAATTGGCATGTTACAAATCAAAGAGGTTTGTCGTGCAGTCTAACTGGAATGACGGTGTGATTAGAGGTGGCAAATCAATTCATTGGGTTGCTAATAGGTACCCGTCAAGACCCAGTTAATTTGACATCACCATAATATAGAAGTGAGATTGGTAGTGGTGAAGATAGTGTAAGGTGAAATCAAACTAAATGAGTTTTAATAGGTACACATCAACAATCCAATTGGTTGATTTGCCACTTCTAACTGTGACGATATCTTAATTTAATCACTCATTGTTATATAAAAATGTTCATGAAATTGTGATTGGCTTGAGATAGTGACACAGTGGATACACGTTTCATATAAACTGCCTACGATTCCAAATCTAAGCAGTACTTAGCTTACCGTGTTGGTGTTGGAGACCACACTTTGCATCATTGCATTGCATGTGAATGAGATAGCGCAAAGCTCTCAGAGCAAGGGGACAAGAAATATATAAAACGAGCATGGAGATTGGAGGGCAAATGACCGAGTCTCTAATGTTCTTTGAATAATATTAATCTAAGTTATCTAACATGTTGGCGATCTCACCTTCAACTAAGTGTTGAATGTTGCACCGAGTCACTGACCGTGACGCTCGTGGTCAAATCGGGTTTCCATTATATTATGATAAGTGTTAGGTTTAAATATCATAAATAGTGAGTTCGATGTCAATTTATTTTCTTACACTTTAGAAAAGACGTGAAATACTTAAAGTTAACAAAATTAGGAGCAAAACTGAGTGCAATGGTGTTCTAGAATTCATACAGCCAACCTCACTTAATAAGATAATACTTTGCTGTAGTTCCGCTTGGAATATTAGAAAATTGGTTTTTGTTATTTAAAAACACATGTATAAAATGAACTTTGGGATGGCATACTAATCACACATGTTGTGCATCCCCAAGTCAGATGCTTGTAATACAAGATTGTGAAATAATTCAATTAAAACTTATACTAATTTAGTAGCTAGCTAGGAAGGATTTTCAAAGATTAAACACTTTAACAAAGATAGGTCATGAACTTAGGTTAAGCAAATAAAGAAGAAAACCACCGCTATCGTGAAAAACACATCATCTTTGCACTATTCCAAATAATGAAGAAAACCACTACATAATAATTAGGAGTTGAATGAACCACTACAAAGATCCCTTCGTTTCAGAGTATGAGGAGGAGCAGTGCCACTAGCAGGCTACCAGGCCATTACCAAAATTGAGAGATAAACTAGGAAAATGTAGACCAATAATTTATCATAATTTTGAATTAAGGAAAGTTACATTTGCCACATTTTTAATAAAGTTATAGAACCAATTAACACAGACGGATCTCATCTCTATTAAAGATGTGATATTAACTTATATATGGTACTGGTTTGGTCATAGAATTCAATTAAATAATAAGGGCTATGACAAGTCACATTTGTCTCGATATGCCATTGGACGTACCAATGATCTACTCGCTATGGCTGTTGATAAGTCAATATCTGTATCCCATTGTGTCTCATGCTCAAACCCCGAGAGATAATAAGCCATTAGATTAGATGACTCGTGTTCATGGAGATGGAGTATATTCGAACTCTCAACAAAGACACTTTGTTTTGTGTCTACCATTTGCCTCTCCTACAATACCATTTTAACGAGTTAGTTTTGCATGAATGTTATATGTAAGGAAGAGAAACTAATCAATATCAGAAAAATAATTGACTATATTTCAAATCAATCATGTATTGTTATCGTTTAAATTAGGCATATTTGTTGATTTGTCTCCTGAACTTGTATGAAGTTGTCAATCTTCCCCCTGAACTTTAATTTTAGCCGATTACACCCCTAAACTTTTATAATTAGCCAATTTCCCCCTTAAACTTAAACTTTAATAGATTACCACCTAAACTTTTATAAATAGCCAATTCCCACCCCCCTGACATTAGATTTTAAGAATTTTAATCCATCTTGATCACGGAAACAACACATGACAACTGTATAGGGGTAAAAATGATGAAAAATGAATGAAAGTTTTAAAAATCTAACGCAAGGGGGATTGACTATTTATAAAAGTTCAAGAGGTAATTGGTTAAAATTAAAGTTCAAGGGGGAAATTGACTAATTATAAATGTTCAAATAGGTAATTGGCTAAAATTAAAGTTCATGATGGGAATTGACAGCTGCATACAAGTTCAGAAGGCGAATCAACAAATGCCTCTTTAAATTAAACATATTATAATGCGTTATTGGTTTGATATACTACTACGATGAATTCTCCAGTGCAGATAAGTCATTCTATATGCATTAAGCAAAGCAGTGTTGTTGTATAAATACTATACCGAGTACAAATATTTCACTACTTCATCCTCTATGCCTAAAGGCAATCCACAACTCCAACCACCAAACCCACAACCAATATACAGCTCATATATAAATATATAATAAAAATTCAATCAAGCCAAAGAAAGTATGGCAGCTTTTCAAGCTTCAAGCATCTTTTGCTTGATGGGATCACCTAATCAAATGCGTTTTCAAAAACGAGTAATCAAAGCTACTACCAATAATACACCAAAATTCCAGGTGAGTCCTCCAACTTCTCCTCCTCCAAAGATCCCAACCAAAAGTTTGATCCAGAACTTGGAAAACGATTATTTCAACTCTTCCATCAAAATCAACACCACTGGCAATATGTCAGATGATCAAACGGTGATTCCTAAGCTGTATGCAATCATGGAAGCCATTGCAGACAGAGTGGAGATGCATAAGAACATCGGAGCTCAGCGTGACAATTGGAACCATCTCCTTTTAATCTCCATCAATGCAATAACTCTCACTGCTGCAACCATGGCAGGACTTGCAGCTGCTGCTAGTGCTATCTCTACTGCAAAAGCACCCTTTATGGCTCTCAAGCTCTCTTCCACTCTTCTCTACGTATCAGCCACCGCCATGCTGGCGGTGACAAACAAAATCCAACCGTCCCAGCTCGCCGAGGAGCAGCAGAACGCGGCGAGGCTGTTCAAGCAGCTCCATGCACAGATTCAAACAACCCTATCTCTCAACAATAACAGTGTAAGTAATAACATTAGTAATGTGGATGTGAATGAAGCAATAGATAAAGTGTTGGCATTGGACAGGGCTTACCCTCTTCCTTTGTTAGGTGAAATGCTCGACAAGTTTCCCAAAACTGTGGAGCCCACAGTGTGGTGGCCAAGAGTACAGAATCATCAAAATAGGGTTCGGGGGGTTGAAGGTAATTTAGTACATGGAAGTAATGGGTGGAATGAGAAGTTGGAAGAGGAGATGAGAGAGGTTGTTAGGGTTTTGAAGAGCAAGGATGTGCCTGAGTACTTGAGATTGACTGAAATAGCCTTGAAAGTCAACAGAGTTTTGGCTATTTCTGGTCCTATTTTAACTGCCCTTGCAGCTTTGGGGTCTAATTTTGTGGGTTCAAGTAGCAATCTTGGGGTGTGGGGAGTAATGGTAGGGGTGATTTGTGGAGCTTTGGCTAGTGTTGTGAATACATTGGAGCATGGTGGGCAAGTTGGGATGGTGGTTGAAATGTACAGGAGCAATGCTGGTTTTTTTAGGCTGATGCAAGAGAGTATTGAATCAAATTTGAGAGAGAAACAAATTGAGAGGAGAGAGAATGGGGGAGTGTTTGAATTGAAGGTGGCTTTGCAGCTTGGAAGGAGCTTATCAGAACTCAAGCATCTTGCTGTTTTCCCTGAAAAGTTTGCAAGCAAGCTATTCTAGGGTGGTTGTTTATATCTTGGTTTTGGCTTTCCAATTGGGTTAGTTTTTACCAATTTTGTGTTGTAATTTGTACATTATTGTGTAACTTTAATTTGTTCGTACAAATAATCACCATGTCTCATTAAAAATAAGATTAATCAAGTGTCACATTGCTTTTCAATGATTCGAACTTTTGAGCTTTTAGGTTTTTCTTCAAAAATTATTGTTGTAAAAGACCACTCAATTAAATAATCGTCATTTTAGTGTATTCTTGACATAATGTACTTGTCTATACTTTTGGCTACAACTAAATGTATTAGCGAGTTTTTGCTTCCTCTAATTTTTTTTTATTTGATAAAAGCTGTCTTTGAATGAAAAATTGCATGAATTAGTGCTTTTAAGACAGTTAAACTAAACAACAATTATACAACGATCAGTCGAGTAAACACACTTCACTAAAATCTAACTAAAGAGTGATGGGAAGGCATGCAAAGGGAATTGCAGCTCATGATTAATTTGAAATCTGCTTGCTGCAGTAGCCATGTTGGCTTCCCCACTCACCACACCACCCTTATTTATTTGCCCCAAGTGGCAACTCATTTTTAAATCTGTCACCATGAATTCCTTTATAAACAATTAAACACACTACTGGTAATCAGTAAAAGGCTAGCCAATTATAAGCTTTTTGGTGGCCAACTGCCGTTAATGACGAATCTGGGTTATCCACACCAGCCAACTAGTGTGTAAAATAAAATATAATAACAACAAGTTTGTAGTTTAGTTGATTAAAAATATTCATCTTTGCAACATATTTACAAGTTTGGTTCTCTCTTCTCAACTATTGTTGCTTTGCTTAGCTTGAAAAAATGTAGGGATTAGCAAGAGGGAAGAATTTCATCAAAGCTCGAAACTTTGTATCTCTAGAATTGTCCACTTTGACTTTCAATTTAGGTTTACTGTCTTTATAATCTTATAAAACTTGCCAATTAAGTTAGCCACTCCGATCAAATGTACCAACTTTTTATTAAACTGAGAATTACTTTTAACTATTTAAGAGTCACGTTATAAAGATAATTAAAAAACATGTCACTAAATTAAAAATAAAAAGGAGAAATCAAAAAATGTTGCCAGAAGAGAGAGACATACATGATGCATCGATCATTCGACTGTTAACCTAACGTGATCTGCATGAAACAGTCGAATTGGAGGTTGGAGAACCAACATAAATAGTATAGTTTACAAATTTACCATTTCATCCTACATGTTGTTAGAATTACAAATGCAGGACTGTGTAGTCTTTTAATTTTTAATTTTGGACCAAAAATATTATCACGTAACGAAGGAGGACCATTTCTCCTCTTTCGTCCTTCTTCAATAACCAAACCCACACGTTCTTCCCAAAGCTTTCGACTTTCACACACAAATAAGTTAATAACCACACTCTGCTTACCCACCAAAACAAGAACATCAGAAAGATGATTCAGCTGCTGTTCGTAGTGATTTTATCAGAAATGGTTCTGATACTGGCGTTTCTGTTCAGGACCCCCTTCAGGAAGCTGGTGATTTTGGGGCTGGATCAGATCAAGCGCGGCCGCGGCCCCGTCGTGGTGAAGACGGTGGCGGCGACGGTGTTGATGGTACTGATGACCAACGTTTACAGCATAGTTAAGATCAGAGGGAGCCGGATCGACAAAGCTGCTGTTCTTAGTCCCACCGATCAGGTCCTCATGATCAAGCACCTTCTCGACGCCACTCTCATGGGTAATTTTCAATCTTATGATTTTATTTTTTATTTTTTGAAGTTTTTGTTGTGGGTTAATTGCTAGAACTTAATTGCTATCTGGGTAATTCTTGATTTTTGGGTTTAGTGACATAATCTCTGATACTTTTGATTCTAGTGTGGAATTCTTGAATGTGCATTTTCTTTTTGTTATTGTTTAACTTTTGGTTTTTGTGAATTGTGGTTGGAATGTGGTTGCTTTGATGGATTTGGGAATGAGATGGATGATGAAAGATTGTAACTTTCTGCCTTCCTATATTCAAATCACTGTTTCATTAATGACATTTACTTGTCAGGGAAAGTTAATAGCTAGGTTTTCTAGATCTTAATTAGTTGTTCTGAGAAGTGAGAACCTGCTTTCGAGATATCAAATTCGAAGCATTATGGTGTTATAGTGGCCTGGCTCTGAGTTCTGTTGTTTTCAGATTAATTATGTACACAGGCTGTTGAAAATTATGTGTGCAAATTGCTCACAAAGAGTTTCATATTCCCCGATATTACCCATGATCTGATAGAAGTATTTCACTTTATTACTGTTGGTGAGGAACATTTTGTAACTTGAGATGTAATTCTCAGAGGTAATGGTGAATTCTGTGTCTTGTTCACCTTGCTGCCGTCTATGATTAATGTCTGAAATGGGCCTACTTACCACCATACAGCCCTTTTGAGCAAGAAACTGAGCTCTTTTTTCGTTTAGTTAAGTTGGCAGGCTAAATGCTAAAGTAATTTGTAAGGGAAACCAATAGGTCCTTCTATCTGGAAATAGCATTGGTATTGTATACAGCAATGTGATCGTATCAGCTGCACTTTGTTTGTACCGGTTGTATCAGCACAGAAGTATTTTATTTCCTGCTCCTTTTCTTTGTTAAATGCGAGTTTCAGTTTTCATTATGTCATCAGTGTATGGTTAGATATTAAATGACACCCGTGAAAAACAGATATGATGTCCTTTATTTGTACTCTTGAAGAGTAGCTAATGCTAATTGAGTTTTGAATTGATTTTTGTTCACTCCATTGTTCCCCTTCCTCGTCTGTATGATGAGGATGAAATGAGAATCAGTCTAATCATGTCCTACGTGTTTAATTAACTTTTAAGTAGATTCGCACGCTCCTGACCCCTTTTCCCCTGATATTTATAGTAGCTTTCGTTTGCTGACAGTAAAAGATAATTACCTAGCCGGACCGTCCGTAATAACGCATGTTGTGAATTGCATTGTGGTTATGTTGCTACAATTTCTGTTTACGAGATGTTCATTTCAGTGGGGAGTTTGTTTACTGAGAGTGATAATCTTGTCAGTCGTTGACTCATTTGCATCTCCCACTTGCAGGATGCTCCCTATTTCTTGCTCTTATGATAGACAGACTACACCACTACATTAGAGAACTTCGTATACGAAGAAAGAGCATGGAAGCCGTTAAGAAACAGAACAGAGGATCTGAGGATGGAAAATCTAGCAGTTTGGATAAGATGAAGGTCTTGGAGAATGAGATGGCTACATTGCATACGAGACTTAAACAACTAGAATTTGAAATCGAGACAAAGACAAAAGATGTTCATACTGCAGAGTCCAGCGTCCTTGCTCTAAGAAAACAATCGGAAGGGTTTCTTCTCGAGTATGATCGTTTACTTGAAGAAAACCAAAACTTCAAGAATCGGTTGCAGTCATTTGACCGGAAAATGTCACGTTCAGGTAGCAAGAAAGATTCATAAGGGATTTTAACGACATTTTGGGATTTTTAATTTGTTATTTAATTTCACAGAAGTTGTTTGTGAGTGTTTTAAGTTGGGTTTATTAATTACGTTTAATTTGTCATATATGCTAATTCTGGAGGGGAGAGAGAGAGAGGCTCACCACTTTGTACGGCTAATGTAACTAAAAGTTGAGTGTTGTAGTATAATCGATAAAATTATTCAGTTTTGTCTTGATAAATTGTGATATATTTCCAAGGTGGAAGGCATAAGTTTTCTTTGTGTCTAATTCATTTGCAAGTTAACATCCATTTCCTGCTTTAACGTTTTAGTAAATATCGAATCCGATCCCATATAATTTATGTTACTCAGCTGGACAGACTTACATGTACCCGACACACCACGAAGGTGCGTTGAGACCTTCTCATGCTGTAGGACTTATTTACCTTTGTATAGAGATGCAAGGCTGATCGTAAAATGCATAGTACCTAAACAAGATAAGACAGCAGCAAGGCTGATCGTAAAAACAATAATGCAAAGGACCTAAACATGATAAGACAGCAACAAGGATGCATGCCTATGCCTTCACTCTTCCTCTCCATGCATCAAATCCGAAATCCCAGTCAATTACATGTGCCCAACGTCCTGCAAAAACAAACAACTTTCTGAATTGATTACATAAAAATACAGAAAGTAACTTCGTAGTAAAAAAAAACATACTAACATGAGTGAAGTGTTCTGCTATGTTGCGCGCGGCAATTAGATATTGCACTGCGCATTCAGATTGACGATTCCACATATATGTATCCTTCTTACTTGAACCCATGTAGGCATTCCCCAGCAAGGCCTTCCACGGTGGAATAGAAGCATCAATTCCATGAGATAGAAAGACTCTAGATCCATGAGCCAGATACAACATAGTTAGCGAAAAAAAAAGCGATTCCCTCGAATCCTTTTCTCTAGGAGATGCCTCACAAAAAATGAGCATCCTTGCGGTGTAAGGTTACCACTCTCCTACACCGTAAGGATGCTCATATAACCTTACACCGTAAGGTTAAGGATGCTCATATAGCGAATGATGATGCACTTGATATAAATGATTTACGTAAGGCGTTGAAGCCCCTGTTTGGAGGAACACTTCCTCAGATACTTAATGATCTGTTTATTTGTCTGGAGTCAAACATGTAAGTTGGGTTTTGAATTGTTTATTGCGTTACCTTTTGAGTCGATATTTATTGCTTCTTAATAATTATACTTGCATACTTGTTTATTTATTTCATAGATTTGCAAAGTACTTGCTACGAAACCACCATTCTATGATGACTTCAGAGACCAGAATATCACGGAAGGCATTTTTTGTTAGGCATTTCCTAGAGAAAAGGAATGAAAAATCCCTTACTAAAAATAGTGTGGTCAATGTATTTTTATCCTTAGAAGCATAGTTCGGTTCTAAAAATAGTGTGTTTTTCCACTACTTCTCTATAAAATATAAAATATAAAATAAAAAAAACTAGTTGGTTAACCGTGTGTTTTCTTCCCTTCCAAAATAGTGTGGATACTAAATTGCCAAGGAAAAAACTAAAATATCAACTTTAGCTCTCTCCCTCTCCTCTGTGCGGCTCACCTCTCTTCCACGAGAGAAGGGGAAACACAACAATAACAACCAAATTTTTATCTCATTATATGAAGTCAGCTATATAAATCCTAAAACGTCACTGCATTCTGTTTTTTCCGCCAAGCCTTTCATTAACAAGGGGAAATAAGAGAGATAATTAAAAAAAGTCCGGCTTCTGCTAGGAAAAAAAAAGGAATGAAAAATGCAAAACGTTTGTTTTTTACCTAAGAAAGAAAAAAAAGGAAACAAATTAAACCAGTCAATAGCTTGATTAATTCTTGACATATATTCCGGATTCTGCTTAGAAGTTAAAGGAAAAGGAATGAAAAATCCCTTACTTCCAAACCAACTTACCCAAAAGCCTAAGTTGATGATAACATATGTGTATATATACACTACATGTCCACTCTATTTGTATGAGAAACCCATCCATCCTAAGGGTTCTCTCTTTGCTGAAGCTTTCTGGGGATATCACCCATGGAGCTTTTAACGCTCACTAGCATGTTCGGCCTGAACTTCGTGAAGGGCATGCTCCAGTTTCTCTTCTTCGTGCACTACGTCACGATGATCCAGACACCGTTCGAGCACGTCATCAGTTACTACAGCCTGCTTCTCGACTTCACTCTCATCGGTAGTGTTCGTTTGTTTTTATACGTATAAACTGACATAATTTAAATTTTTAGACTGCATCGATTTTCTCTTCTTTCAAGTTATTTTGCTCTATTTAATTTGTTTTTATTAGATATTAATACGTTTAAGTTCCTCGTGTACAGGGTTCTTCCTAGTCCTTGATTTCGTTTTACACCAAGTATGCGAGGATGTCAAAAAAGTTCACAGACAAACGAAATTGATGGGGGAACTGCGCAACAGATTTGAAGAAAACAATAATCGCTTGCTTGAGGAGAAAGAAAACCAACTGCAATCGTTGAGCGCAAAGCTCGACCAAGCTGAATCCAAGCTAGAGACCAAAAGAAGAGATGTTTCTGATCTAAGAAACGCATTTGGGGAATTGCTTGATGAGCAAGGTGTGGTGGTTGCAGAAAACAAACGTCTACACGAGTGGTTGGAATCGGAAGATATGTTTGTCGAGTTTGATCACCTGCTTGGGGAGAAAGAGGACCAATTGCGATCCTTGAGAACAAGGATCAACAACGCAGAATTGGAGCGCGACGCCAAGGCGAAGGATGCTAATGTTGCAGAAGCCCATGTTCTTGTTCTGAAGAAGTTGTTCGGACAGCTATTTAACGAGCACAGTCTTGTCCTTGAGGAGAATGAGAGTTTAAAGCAGCAGCTGCAGTCGTCATCAAAAGCCAAACTGAAACATGATCAATTGCTTGACGAAAACAAGATTTTGAAAACAAAGCTCATTAGCCTCAGCCAAGTAGAATCCGAACTCGAGACCACAACCAAAAACCTGAATGATGCAGAAGCCGATTTAATGAATTTAAGCAACGCATTCGGAGAGTTACTTGACGTGCAAGGTGTTGCAGTCGAGGCAAACCAAAGTTTACAAAAGGAGCTACAATCTTCGGACACAAAGCTCAAACAGCTACAACATGAGCTTGAGACAAAGACAAGGGAGATTTGCGCTGCAAAGGACCGCGCGATCGTGCAAGAGAAACAATCCGAAGAGGCTTTCGCTGAGTACGACCGTATGCTTGCGGATAAGGAGGAAGAACTGGAATCGTTGAAAACAAAACTCGACCAACTGCAATTTGAGCTTAATGGTGCAGAAGACGATGTTACTTTTATGAGGAATCTATTTAGACGATTACTTGATGATCAAGATGAGGTACACGAGAAAAATCGAACTTTAAAGAGCTGGTTGCAGGCATCATTCACAGCACTAAAAAACCTTGAATATGAAGTCGCAACAAAGACAGAGGATCTTCGTTCTGCACACGATAAAATTATGGCTGTGAACAACGATTCACATTATTATTTTCAAGAGTACGTTCGATTACTCGAGGAGAACAAGATCTTAGAAAGCAAAGCGAAGTGGGAGACTGCCAAGCACTCAGAAGGATTGCAGAACTACTGAGTTTTTTTTTTTTTTTTCCTTTATGTTTGAGAGCTAGTTTTGGCACAAAACCGAATGCACTAGCGTTTTAAGATTCATATAGCCGACCTCAATTAATGGTGTAAGGCTTGGTAGTTGTTGTTGAGAGCTAGTTTTATTTTTCACATTTAAGTTGTTAATTTCATGGTATTTGAGAATTATGTTATTTTTCACATTCTAATTAGTTAAACTATGTTATCAAGTCTTCCCTTTTCTTTCATCTTTAAATACATTCACAAACAACCAAAAAATTTATTTACAAAATTAGGATTTGCAAAAGATACATATTTGTTACATTTAGAGGCCATCCTAGCCTTGCTCTTCCTATGTTTACTGCTAAAGCTAGTAGCATCACTACTAGTATCCTTATTCGTATTCGGATTCGTATTTGAATACGTACTTGTTGGCTCAACGTAAAAATTACAGGGGCGAAGTAGCGCGAGTTTGAATTGCCGGGTAGGAGGTGAAAAAGCGGTGTGTTTTTGAGCTAAATCTTGGTTTTCAATGTTGTTGCTTCTCACAGTGACCCAATTATCTTCATCACAAGCCCAATTGGGTAACTCTAACGACGACGTATTGCCTTCGCTCAAGTGTCGGATCCTCTCCTTAGCTGAACAATCCGAACAACCGCTTTCGCATGTCGGATCCCAAATCTGGTCCGAATCAAATTCCTCCTCCAACAAATCACGATCCAGTACGGTGGTGGGACTTAACAAATCATTGGGTGCCTCGAGTAAAAATCCATGCTCCAGAAGCTCACCCGCCGACCACCTCTCCAGTGGGTCCCTGATCAAACACTTGGCGACAAAGTCCCTGCCTTGCTTCGACAGAGAGCTCGGTATCCCCGGCGCATCGCCGGAAAACCCGATTCGGTACAACGCCGATACGGGGTCGCAAACGTCGGGCCACGGAGCCCGCCCGGTGGCCATTTCGATTATTGTGCATCCCAGAGCCCACACGTCGGCGGCGATCCCCTGTTCCTCCCCGCGCGCCACCTCCGGCGCCATGTACAGAGGGGTCCCACCAATGGGCGACCCACGATCATAATTTACGCGGCGAGCGCAACCCAAATCGGCGAGCTTCACTTTCGCGCCATTTTCCGCTACCAAAATGTTCTGACACTTGACGTCGCAGTGAGCGATTTGATTGGAATGGAGGTGCTGCAGCCCGAGTAGAATCTGCCTCGCGTAGCACCTTGTCGCGGCCTCGTTTAGGCAACCGCCTTGCCGTCGGATTGCGTCGGAGATAGTGCCTCCGGGCGCGTATTCTAAAAAGAGATTGTACAAAGCCGCACCATTTTCGTTTGAGATGTTGTGGCCCTTGTACTGTACTATACAGGGAGAGCTCAATGTGGATAAAATTGTTTGCTCCTTTTGGAGGAATTGGGATTGTGAGAGCTCGGCCGACTTGACTGCGAAAACCTCGCCGGAAGGGTGCGACTTGGCGATTGAGACTGTGGCAGAGGAGCCAAGGCCGATGGTTCGGCCCCTAGTCCAATCCATTGACGATAACCGAGGATTAGACGAGCAGAACTCCACAAACATTTAGAGGTTACAAGTTTGGCATGTGTTATGTTTGGTCAAGGTGGATATATAAGAGGGATCAAGGTGGTGGGTGTGGCGAGTAAAAGTGTGAGGAGTAGGCTTGTGGGTGTAGTTTGCTATGGGGGGTGGCTTTAGCTTGAGGCCTAGTGAGAGAAGCTAATGCCTTTCATGAACCTTTTTGGAAAGGGATCACGGATCCCTTCCTCTAAGTTATTTCCATCAAACAATTTAAACCTTTGAAATTTGATTAAACGGTTAAAATTATTATAACTTTTAAAGTAAATCTCTATTTGTAGTCATTAAATTAAATTTCAAAAATCTTAATTAGTTGATGAAAATGACTTGATAAAAAGATCCGGAAGGAATCCCTTTCCGACCTTTCTCACTCTTTCGGCTTTTTGGACCAATGGGCGGCCGCCGTCATCTCTACTTTCATCCGGGTCCTCCACGTGGCAAAAGGAGGGCGCTTTTTGGCCGGCGGTTACTTAAGCTTGGCTTTGGGTACGAATAGAATATTGTTAGAAGTAAATTCCATGCCTTTGGGTGAGCAAGTGGAGTGGCACGTGCTGATGCAGTCTTACTCATTGTATACGGATAAATGTTACGCAGAGAACATCACTCGGTACGTATTTAATCAATTATATTATAAAATTTGATATATCGGATTGTGTTTCTTGCACGTTTAAAATATCATCAGTAATTGGAGTGGCAGCACCATGCTGATGTAGTCCTTCCTCATTGGGTACGAATAGAATATGTATGGTATATTCTTGTGTTTGGTGGGATGTAATAAGGCTTAATTATGTAGAAAATGGATTGACTTTAATTAACGACTCCCTTTGGTCCTTCAAAAGTCTCAAGTACAATGCCCACTAACAATGGTTAACTCTTTTTTTCTCCTAAGTTGGGTGCATAATTTGTGCCCATTTATTAGTAAATTTGGCGAGGTTAGGGTATGTTTGGTAAGTCTTGATTAATTAATTAAATGGTACAACTTTTTTCAATTAAATTGGGCACGATCTACCCTATCCAAATTATGATAAAAAGATGAGTACTTTTTGGACAACTTTCAGACACCCAAGTATGAGAAATGTTTGTAGTACACAACTTTATTCTTGCTTTGCAAAGATGTTGTTTTCACTACTTAAGCTCATGCCCTTTTTGATCACAAAGAATCAAAATTTCCATTGCGCTAACGCTTGTCCTCGTTTAGAGTTCAAATCTCATGAATAAAAATTGCTAGAACAATTACTAGTGGCATATTCACTTGGTAGGAATGATTGGTTCATGGCTAAGTAAACATGATGTCTTTTTACCCTCAAATTAAAAAATATATATATATTTATATATTTATATATAAACAAACGAAAAGGGATATGTGTAAGTGAATAAGATAAAAGGAAAAAGGCAGAGGCTTTTGTTTGGCTTGGAATGTTGAGTGGATTCTGCATAAGAGCATAGGAAAGGAGGTGGATGGCTGGGATGGATAATAGTTTAGTTGTAAAAGCCGCCAAACCAAAACCCCAACTCACCTTCTGACATGCATCTCTGAATATCTTCATCTCCTCACACACCAAACCAAACACCAACACCAAACCATTTCACCAACCAGTCTGGTCGGTCCGTTGGAAACTTAGAATTCACCAAACAAGTGAGTTGCAATTGCAGTATGCAGCTCACAACGTTGTCACGTAACCTTTGTCCTTTGCTTTGCTTTGCGTGTGCAAAATATATGCTGTCAATGTCAATGTGCATGCATGAAATATCAAGAGTGTGTTTGATCTGTCTCTGTGTTGGGACGTTGTTAGGTATTTCCGTATCTCGAGTATTTCAACTGTTAGATTTTTATTTAAAAATATAAAATTTCAAAACCTTACAGTTAAAACAGCTAGAGTATCTGATGTTTCGAAACACCTAAGAATTTTTTGTTGTGTGTGTATATGCATCATACCTTGTAATTTACGTCGCTTCCAAGCAACCCTATCATTTTGTTCACATGCCTGCATGCCAGCTACCCTTCTTTATTTTCTTTGCCCTCCTCCTCCTCTTTTATTTGTCAGCTTTCGGCAAAGCTTTTTATCCCCACCTTGGTGCTTCGTGAATCATATGCATGCTATCAACAAAGCGTTTCCTAAACTTGTGTGGCATGCCCAAGTCTAAGATATTCCTCCATCCTTGGTTTGTTCTGTTTTAAGATGTGGCCAAGTAGTTATGCTTTTCTAAGGTACAAACACGCCTTAAGTACGAACACTTTTAAATGATACATGCATTAGACGATATAGTAGACACTTGAAGTGATACTACATCCTGTACGCATTAAGTACGAACATTTTTAAATGATACATGCATTAGACGATTTAATAGACACTTAAAGTGATGCTACCACGCATTAAGTATGAACACTTTCAATGATACATGCATTAGATGGAATAATAGACACTTGAAGTGATGCTACACCACTCTTTACGGCTAGATGTATCATTCAATGAACCATAATACTAGTATATTCAAGTGTCCGTATTGTACTTGATGGGATAACCATCTCACTCAAAGAGCTTTTTTCAAACATTTTGTATTTCCAACATTTTGTATTGAGAACGTGTCTGTATTATAGTCAGTCTAAATAGGTCTTTTAAGGTGGGTCTATCTTGAAGAACCGAAAATTTTATCAAGGGGCTCGTTTAAATTCAAAAAATGAATGATTTGCCATATCATGAATTTAACAGCTAAAACCCTTAACTTTGAGATATTACTAGAAAACATTGCACAATTTACTACTGCTCTCAAACTTGTAACAGATGATAGAAGGTTACAAACGGTTGTATTTACAAACACTATGTTTACGCCGACACCAACGGACACCACAACTTATTTCAAGTTTTAACCACTGGCTTCCCTTTACATACATAAGAGCTACACATATATTAAGTAAATTTAAGTAAACAAAGATGAGCATGCGCATCAACTAATTTCGAGACGCGAAGGGTCGATCCCAGAGCCGTTCTTTATGCTGCCTCTGCAAATCCGACTCTCATTTTGCCAGCATCGAACACGGTGTGGTAACGACCCATGAAGATATCTCCCAAGATCCTGCATTGCACCGCCGCAAAGTAAGAATCAAAACAAAAGTTTCGCCCCCTGTAAAGCACGACAAATGACAAGCCCAAGTGTCGAATAATGTGATCATACCAGAGAGGTCCGCGGGGAGGAGGGATATCCATGTTAGTGAACCCGCTTATGCACTGAGCTTGAGAGCCCTCGCCGACCTTAAGTATGTACTGCGCAAACAAATGGAGAAATTATCATAAGCGCAAAGGTAGCTTGCACTGCAACTTTAATCATGCAAATTCACACCAAAACTCGCCCGTAAACCCACAGGGAGAGTATACCAGATAGCATTACATAGGCAATCAGAAGGGACATATGTAAGCATATAGCTAAAGGAAAAATTTGGATGTCGCCATACCTCATCTGGAGTGAGCTCAAAAACTTTACCGCCAATGGTGAAGGAAACGGAAGGCATAGAAGAAAGCTTTCCACAGTCTACAGCTGATTGTCCCAAGGGGTTTGGCATTTTTTCACAAAGCTGCGGAGGTATAATATCGTGGAGTCAGAAAGAGAAGCAATGCCAGTAAGAAATTTTAATCAAGTTCCTTGAAATTTCTATACCTCATTGACGTAGTTCAAAATACGATCTTCAGTCAAATTGTGCTTAAGCTGGGTTTGCATCCAGACGACTGCCATCTCACAAGCAGAGCATGAAGCATCATGAGTAATGCCAGAAGACTTGCCGCCGTTCTCATCCACCACGCTCTCAATGCCCATACTGAAAAAATACAACAGTGATCCAACAAGTTTATTACCTAATGAAGACAAGCCCAAGAATAATAATAGCAACTTTTTATGCTGACCTTACACTACGAGTCCCGTCAAAGGTGCACAATCCAATTTGCGAACAAACCTTCTTTGGTTGGGCCTGTTAGAGAAAGTATGCAAACCAAACAAATTATGATCGTCTTCCAGTCGCGTGAACAAGGAAAAAAAATGTAAACTAGAATAACATAAGTCTTGTATTTTACCTCAGCGAAGAGCAAATCAAGAATGGTTTGTCCATACTGGTTAACAACTGCCTTGCATTCCTGGCTAACAACACCACTGGCTCCAATGGCTCGATTTATCAGGGCAACCACAGTCTGCATACATACATATAAACGCCGAGAGATTAATCGATAGGGAAATCATCATTACTAATGCAGTTGCAAAACTATGCAACAAACTAACAGACAGTTGCAACACAAACAGAAGCTGGAAGAATATAATAGGCACAAGTACTTCATGCGATCTATAAACACAAAAACAGGTCATTAACATGCTCGTACTTCTCCCTTTCTGGTTCAATCAGAATATTCAGCCTGAGAAGTTAAAGAAGTGAACTGGATCTAGCTATCAACCAAGCTGGATACAATTATATACACGGAACATGCACCCACCAAAGAATGAATCAACAAGAAATCAAAGTAATAACTAAAATTTGGATTACATACCGTTGGACCTGCCACAAGAGAAGTTCCAGAGTCTGCAATTGCGTAACAGCCACCAGCACAATATCCTGAACAGCAATATGGTTAAGTCAGAACAATGGGAGTAAAATACTCGATGTTCATATATGTGCCCCTCCCACGCGCACGCATGCACACGCACACACACACAAGGGAAAACTAAACGTGCCAGTGCACACTTTATGCATCAAGAGCTTACTTACCACTTGGTTTACCACCAATAAGAACATCGCCCATCTCAAACTGCCAAAGAAAGACACCAGTAAGCATAATGGAAAAATAAGAGGTAACATATTAAAAGAAAAAAGATAGTTATCAGACAGTTCCGCATTGGATATAAATGTTTCACTATCAACCTGCCAATAGCCTTTCTTCGTTACTGGAACATAGGTGTGTTTGCCCTTAAAGTGATTTGGATCAACTCCGCCAAACACAATTTCACCACCTGCTTCTTCTTGTGCATTACGATTGAGCCAAAAGGAAAACACTGGTTCCTTGATAAGACCTTGCTTAATCATGTTGTACCTGAAAGACATTCATATGTCTCATATCAACCACTGATTGCTGAATTATTCATTATTTATTTCCAGAAAAGGAAAAAAATTGATCAGGTGAGAATCAATGCATACCACACTGGGACAGCACCTCCAACCGAAATCTCTTGAAATCCAAGTCCCAATAAGCCATCAAACTTGGCAGCCAAGAATGTGAGACCAGGCTCACTAGTTGCTTCAATAAAATCCTGATAGTTGACAACCAATAACAAGTACAGTTAAATCGAAACACTAGACTGGGGACGGAAAAGGAGGGGAGTTCAGAATTATGATTACCTGGTTTTTAACAACGATGTCCCCAACTTTAACATTGTCTTTGCTAAAGAAACCTGAAATAGCTCCGGTACCATACTGGATAGAAGCAGAAGTCCCTGCACAGCAGTAAACAAATATTACATCAAACAGTGAACGCAACCATATTCCAGAATTCACATGATAAGACATGATTGATTTAGAAACAAATTATCATGGAGCACGGCATACGAACCATTCTTCTTGTATGTTTTCGATTGGCCCGACTTGTACCTGGCATGGAAGTAGCATGCAAACTGCACCAAAATGTCAAAAAACCATGGTCCTAATGTTTCAGGCCAATCTTTGTACGCATACAAAAGTTTCAATTTTTCAAATTACAGAATAGTACAAACTTTAAAGCTCACCGAGAAATAGCACTTGGATGATGGAACCCACAAGTTTGCGCTACCAGTGTCAAAAATCACAGTGAAGGGCTGAGGGGGAGTGCCAATAGCAATCTCACCATAGTACTGAGCATCCAAGTAGTTCTTTAATGAGACAATATCGACATCCCCCGACTCAGATTCTCCGAGATTCGAAGGGAGACGATACTTTCTCAATCCATACTTGGATTCGAGCTGTGCAGCAACCCGGTCATTTGAATCCAATTTCACCCTTTTGAGTCCAATCCTAGACAACCCATCATTGGGTGCAGAGGATACAAGAGAAAACAACAAGCTTGAAAGGAACAGAATTGCTCTGAAGCTGGTTCCCATATTGTCTATAACTTCACCCAAAAACAACAAATTAAAAAATTAATTCTGAAATTACTAAAGGCATGTTCACAACCATTAGGCATTACAAATGCATTACTTGAATAATACCACATTTTAAATGAAAAGTTTAGCTTAATTAGCGAAAATTCATCTGGGTTTTGTATAAAGATTACTAACGTCTATCAAACTCGTGACCTTCGGTCACGATGGAGCAACTTTTCCATTGCGCTAAGGCTCGCCATTTTGTATCAAGATTACTAACTCTCTTCTTTTTTTTCTTTCAATTTTTTAATCCACAGAAGTTTCAAGTTTCACTTTCAATTTCTTTTCTTTACCATAAAATTTCATTTTTCTTAACAAAAACCTTCAAACATGCATTTTGGTCCCAGAATCAGTGAATCAATGAACAAAATTAAAATAATAAATCTAAAAAATAAAATACAACACACAAAATATGCAGACATGCAACCAAAAAAGCAACATCTGCAGAAAAAAATAACACTCAAATGCAAACTTACAACCATTTCTCACTATAACGTAAAGAATATAAAAGAAATTATCCAAATAATGTTAAAAAATTAAATTAAATTAAAGAAATAATAAGAAAAACTCACCGATTGAATTGTTTGCAGCAGAAAGAGAAAAGTTGGTGCGAAGAAACTCGAAGGAAGAAAGTGTCTTTTAAAATAGAGAAAAACAGAGGACCTTCTTCTGCCTGTCACTCTTTGCGTTTACCAGTGGGGCCCAGCTCAGCCGAGTTGGCCTCAACAAGACTTTTAAGCTAAGCCGTCCGATCTACAGCCTCTGAACGGTCGATATTGTGTGAAGGCAGGACGGTCTCGTTTCCGGAGACGCTTTACAAAATGGACGGTGATTAAGGGGTTAAGAAAAAGATCAGGCGGTGCGAGTGACGTAGGTTGAGAGCGACGGGTTTTGGATAGCGCGAGGAAAACGACGCGGGAATATAGAATTGGGAGTTGCAACGGAACGCTCACGTGTCACAGAAACCACCTGGTTGCCTTAGCACGCGACACCTCCCTCTTTGGGGTCCACCGTGCTTGGCGTGGAGAATCCAGTTTCTCTTTGTGAACATTCTAAGAATTCATCAATCTAGTCAGTTCATTATACATTGTGCGATCATAAATTATTTTAAATATTTTTATTTAAAATTAAATACAAACATTACTTGACAAAAACTAACCGCACAATATACGATGAACGAACACGATTTATAGATCTCTAAGATCCTCACCATAAGAATCTGGAGAGTATCATGTTATTGTGGAGTGTACACAATAGATTTTCTGTTTGTTTTTGGTCTGCACATGAATTTGGTGTGACTTTGTTCACGTTCCCCTTACACAATATCAACTGAAGTTTTACAATTAAATGCAGTTGTGAGTGTTTTGTTTGGATATGGAACGAATTGTGGAAAACAAACTAGATAATGTGTAGATATATCATTGTATCTAATAAAATGCATTGACGTTTAGTTAGGTATAACGATTTCTTGTACAAATAATACAAAAATAACAAGTTTCAAATTAACTTGTTAACAAATCAGATCATTATCGAGTAACTCAACAGAAACCCTATTGCTGCTGAGTGTAAGAAAGAAAATGGTCATCTCGTCTCTAATTCACTCTCACGATATGCTAGCAAACATTGCTAATTGCCCGTCACTCTCACGATCTGCAACAAAGCTTGACGACCTTAAAAGTGGAAAGGTGGAAAGTTGCCGATCGCTACCTTTTCTGATCCAATAAGGCTTGAAGCCCACCCTAGATGGGCTCGACAAATTTACCCATTCACATCATTAGAAATAGAACGGGCTTCAAATGCAGAAATCAATAAGACCCAACACTAGAAAATGGGCTTGGAGGACTATATCCATGATCAACAATTCCACGGACATTGTTACAATTAAATGCTATCCGTGTCAACTCAACTGGAAGCGTTTTTGCTGGAGAAGCATGTTAGCTGTTTCTTAGAGGCACTTGATTTTATTAGAACTTTCCACATGTTTCTAATAAAACTATATATAGGGAAATTTCCGTGAAAGTGTTTCGTATTCAATTAGTTCCAAATGATTGAAAGTATGACGTTGACCGATGTTTGATAGTTTCGGAATTGATCAAATATGGTACAAACAAGTTCTAAAACTCTAACCAACTATGATACTTTTTTGTAGAATAGTTATGATTTATGAGTACAATTGCATCTACGATATTTATTAATAAATGAAGTTTATTGATACTGGACATTGTGTTATTTAAAACAATACTTAAGTGCAGTCTCGGAGAAATTTGAATACAACGATCATGTGATCGTGTGTTACAATTATGCGTGCTAATACTTTCTATAGCTTATTAATTTTCTTACAAATATAATTAAAAAATAACAATGTAAATGCAACAATGCCCAATACCTAGAGACTGTGTCTCACCTTTTGCTTCACAATAGAAGAAACAAAAATATCCAAATAGGCACCTTTCATGCATGGGATTTCTTTTTACCTTATCTTCATTTTTTTTTTTTTTAAATCCTTTCAGAGTTGAGATTCCCTCAACAAAAAAATTCATGATCATTGGTCCCTTAAATCATCCAAATATCCAGCTATGGTTCTTTTCGTCAACTCCGTCAGAATTATGTCAAAATGAGCCATGTTAGAAGGATTGTTACTACAGTTGAGTTAAAGGTAAGAGACCATTGCTCCAATGAGGTTAAAATTGATGGACAATTTCTACAATTAGGTTAAAGTTGATAGACCATTGCTCCAATTGGGTTAAGTTGAGGGACAATTTCTCAAATTAGGTGGAAATTTAGGGACCCTTCCTACAATTTTTCTCAATTAGTTTTCCATATTTGTCCCTTGATTTAACGTCACATGCATGACACGTGACTTATTTTGATAGAAGTTCTAACGAAGTTCACGAAAAGGACCATAACTGCACGTTTTGATGAGTTAAATAACCGATAGTCACAAATTTTTAGTGAAGAGGCTATTACTCTAATTAGGTTAAAATTCATGTACCATTACTACAATTTCCTCTTAACTTGCATAATGGTCACTTCTCAAATAATATAAAGTGTGAAACCACAAGTTCCAAAAGATCCCAAATATGGAGCAAGCACGTTTACCTTTCAATGGAAATATATGGAAATATATGGGAAAATGTTAGATCTAAAAAAAAAAAAAATCTATCTTACTAATGTTTGTTGATGAGAGTACATCTTTGAAGAATTCAAAGCACGGGGGCTGTAGTACTCGTACGTCGTTAATTTCAAAACCCTAATCAATCAAACTGTAGTACAGATCAAAACTGCACGTTCGCATGTCGATATCCATTATAAAAATCAATATTTCTTAGATATCCCTTTCGATATGGATCGGCATTCGGCAGCATGTCTTGAGCTGAAGAGTGTAAATTCTAAATATATATACACAAGAAGACTCCACGAGTTACAAGAAAAAGGAGTTCAAAAATCAGATAAGATGAAGAAATTCATGGTTGATATTTCACGAATTAGCTAGCTAGGGTTTCTTATAAAACGATGATTTTTTTCCCATTAAATATAAAGAGGAGAATTGAAATTCGTGTAAATGAAGAAAACATATCAGTTCTAACTTTTGATCAATATTGTGATCAGGTACACATGAGCATGACTTAGACTTATGTATTAACAAAGAGAAATACTAATGTGACACTCTCTAAAATACACTTTTCATAGAGATTCTATCCGCTCATATTTTTAACATAACGTTTATAATGTTGGGTATGAGAATTAACATTAAATTATGAGGTGAGTCTTGCTTTAAAAAAAGAACCATTAACATTTCTCATTTAACAAATAAATTTATAATGCAATAACTACGAATAAATTAATAATATCACGTGTAAGTGTGACAAATAACGTTGAACTATTTCTCAATAAGATGAGGCAAGGTGTTTTTGGCCACATGCATGCACGTGAATATCATAAAAGACATGCACTTCCTATCCACCGCCGTGAACATGCCATGAAGACGAAAGCCATCGATCCACAGAGTCCATATCCATAAAAACTAAAAGATCCCTTCGTACGTTGGATGAGGTACGGTTGCGGGCCACAATGCTCCACGTTTGCTATTTTACTATAATATTTTCAACTTTTTTTTTTACTATTTATAAATAACCAAATTAGAAATTCACATGATTGATTGGGATCTGGATTCAAAATTCAATGGCAGTGACGTGATGTCAAACAAAGTGCACAGAAAGTCAACAACGTATCCAATTGAAAATTAGCAGCAGCCCACAAGCCACGAAACTACCCAACTTCAACCAACATTCATCGAAAGTTGTCTTCTTTTTTTCTTTATAATTTTTTATGAATTTGACCTCATTTTTTCCAAATTATTCACGACTCATTTAATTTAACACACAACGTAGTTGCCTGGAAGTCTCTTCTAAGTCCATGGTTTTTTCTTACGTGTCAAATAAAATGGCCGATTTTGTTGACTGCAGCCTCACCCTCACACATAGTATCAGAATATTCCGCTTTATTCTTTCTCTCTCGCTCTCTCTCTCTCTCTCTCTCTCTCTCTCTATTATCTTCTGGTTTTTTCTTAGGGTTTTCTTGTAAACAACGATTTCTGTCTGTATGGTCAGTGTTGTTTTAATTGAACATAATCATCATGTATTAGATTAGAAGGAAATCAACTAATAATATATGAAAGATTAAACATGTAGTAGTGCACTGATTGGAATAGTAAATACATTAAACCAAACCTTTTTCCTTTTTGTGTGTATTTACTGACAATTTTGAATCAAATTATTCAAAACAAAACACAAATGAAAAAGAAAGAAAGAAAGAATGAAGTTGGGTTCGATCTAAACCCTCCCCAAAAAAAAAAAAAAAAAAAACAAAAACAAAATGTATCGACAGGTTACCAACTTTCTTTAAAGCTAAAAAATAAATTAACAAAAACAATAGACGCCACATTTCTAATTAATTTCCCGGGAAACTACTAATCTTGTTGTTGTTGTTGGCTCCGCTGCTGTTGTTGGAGATGGGGGAGGCGCTGTTGGTGGTGGTGTTGCTCGGATGAGCTCCTCCACCAATGATCGAGGTTATAGCGGCCGCGAGAGCAGCAGTGAAGCTCGGATCAGCCGTGATGGCACTCACTGTGTCAGCAAAGGAGGAAGACTGCGTTTGCTGCATTTGTTGTTGTGAACTAGTAGACCCCATTACATCCTGGGACAGCTGAAGTTCTGAAAACTTAGACTGGTTGTAAAGGGCTTGCCCAAAAATTTGAGGCAGTTGTTGTGAAGCTGCCCCAAAACTCGGGGGTTGCCCTGGGAAATTAGGGACTTGAAATGGGGTGTTTGGTCTTTGGACTTGTGATGGCGTTGTGGTAAGGTCCAATGTAACAGTTGGAAATGGAGCTGAGGCTGAGATTGTGGCAACACTTGATGAGCATGGAAGAATTGCTCTGGCTAGCAAATTGTTAGGGTTCATATTCATCCCGTCCGCACTTGACATGGACCCCGAAAGCAACATGCTGACGGCTGCCGTGGTGGTTGATGCCATGGCCATTGCAGCAGGGGGCAGTGGGTGATTGTGATTGCCTTCATATGTTGTGATCAGTATGGTTCTGTCCTCGGCACAACGTTGTACCTATCAAAATAGTAACACGTACATATTAGTACTTTCATAAGTGATATGTTGTCGATATATTTTTAACACACTAAACCAATAGAGAAT